CTGCAAAAAAGTCAAATTTATTTCTAAAAATAATTCTATCAATCATGTTCCCAATAATATATTTAATTCCTTAAGCATATAATGGGTGTCCAGAAAAATCTCCACAAAATATCTCAAGCTCTAGCTAACAACCAATAATTTTTAATTATGCTGCATATGCTAATAATTTGAAAACATATGGAATATTGTAGAACATTCTAGAATCCTTTTCTGCATTCTTTCAAAATAGCAACAAAAAGATTAAAGATATTTTGTTTTGACTTTTGTTTAAGATCTTCTCTTTTTGCTAATCAGAAACTACACCAGTATAATAAGTCCTACTAATAAACAAGGTCCAAGCAACAGTATATACACACGGAAATGTAAATTATGATGATTTATGCCTAAGAGTGCACAACTTTTACATATTAAAATAAAACATTAAAAAAAGTTTATTGTAAACCATTTTGCAAATGAAGGAATTTCAAACTGATTCTATATTTCAAGAGCAAATTATCACCACAGAAAAGGGATCTGATAGAAATGTGAAAATTTTAACAAAAGCCAAGTTGGAAAGATTAAAGAGGACTTGTTAAGACAGCAACAAGCCCAATTCAATCTGTAGCCCTTAAACTGAAAATTTCATGTAGTTGGCTCCATGAGATATTAAATATTTAAAGAAATAGGTAATTCTAGACAGAATGGACATGCAAAGATCACTGGCAAAGATGAAGTGCAGAAAGTTATTGTGAAAGTTCTCTGAAAAGTTCATTTTGGATGATGAATCTTACTTCATCCTCTCGCACTTTGTAATCAATAGTAATGGTGGATTTTATATCAGTAATATCTCCTCTATATCTGCCAATATAAAGTTTTCCAAGATAAAGAAATTTGAGGGCAGAGTTTTAGTTTGAATTTCAATGGGACCAAAAGGCTTTCAAGCCCTAATCAGAAAATCAAGTTTTGCTATCAATGCTCAGCAGTATTTAAATGAATTATGATGTTACCTGATCTCTTACATTTATGTTTAAAAAGCCAAATGATATGCTGGGTATACAGTAGAATAATTGTAATTCTGCAAAGAATATTAATTAGTAAACATATCAATAAAACAAAATAAAAAATATTAAATTTAATTCTGAACAAATATAGTTTTTCAAAACTGTATTTGTTTCAAAAATGTATCAAAAGCTGACAAATTATGACTTATCAACTCCATATTTAGACTTATAAGCTAATAATACATCAAACTCACAATGGGGGAAGGATCAGTTAAAACTAGTAAATATTTTCAAAGTTTCTATGCATTTCATCTTCAGACCTTCACTTGGTAATTTCATTGTGTTTTATCACTTTGGCTATTCAAAATTTTGAATGATTTATTATTAACTTACAAATAATATAATTTTTTAAAAGAGTCAACCATCAGATGTATTTTTATTTAAATTTTAAGTTAAACAAGTAAAACAGCAAAGCCATTCTTGGGACAAGACTATGTCTCAGAGAGTGCAAGCAACGCAAGCACAAATCTCACACTCGCGCCTGTCTGTAGAAAGTCTCAGCATTGTGTATTTATTTTGACCTGGTTCTCAGTCCCCTGACTACCTACAAGTCTCTTTTATTTTATGTGCACATGATTTGGGCACCAAATATTCTGTGCCAAATTGCAACTCCTGACATGTACTCTTTCATACTTCTAAGGTGTGCAGCCGTTGACAGCAGCACAATTTTAGAGATGAGACATAGTCTTGTAAAAAAACATTTACCGAAATTAGAATTTTTATGGAATTTCCTATCTAATAATTTAAAAGTTTTCCCACTATCAGGTATTGTACTATATGTTAATTAAATACAGAATTTTTAAATAAAATTAGGATTATATAGAAAAAATTGACACTAGGATTATTCAATAATTTCATCTAACATTAAAATTGTATTATTTAATAAATATTGTAAAATATAATAAATTGCCAAACGATTGCCTAAATATCGGGCTACTATATGGCTAATTAAATGATTAGAATAAAGTAATTTGTCATTAGAGGTAGGTGTTAGGCGCTATCTCTTAAGTAAATTAATAATTAAAATTAAATAAATAAATTGTTAAATTAATTTTAGAACCTTCTGGAATAAAAGAACTGGCCTGGGACGGGGTTTGAACCCGCAACCTCCTCTTGCCATTCGGTGCGCTTGCCAGTTACGCCACCCGGACCCTGAGTGAGTCTTCGCTTCCAGAAGTATATTAGATTAGATATAACTTTACTTGGTTAAATACATCACTGACTGGGGACTATATATATATACATATACCTCGCCGGGTGTTACGTTACCTGGCTGAGTGCCATTGGGGTCGTAGGCGATGAAGTCGTCCCCAGTAAGTGATGTATTTAACCAAGTAAGGTTATACTAATCTAATATACTTCTGGAAGTGAAGACTCGCTCAGGTCCAGGTGGCGTAACTGGCAAGCGCACCGCATGGCAAGCAGAGGTTGCGGGTTCAAGCCCCATCCCGGGCCAGTTCTTTTATTCCAGAAGGTTCTAAAATTAATTTAATAATTTATTTATTTAATTTTAATTATTAATTTACTTAAGAGATGGTGCCTAACACCTACCTCTAATGACAAATTACTTTATTCTAATCATTTAATTAGCCATATAGTAGCCCGATATTTAGGCAATCGTTTGGCAATTTATTATATATACTATTTGGGCTTTAAGTTGTTGTTATTTAAATATTGTAAAATTTAAATTTTAAGTTAACTAACAGTTAATTACATCTGAGTAAATGAAAATTCTTGGTAACAAATTACTGTGGGATTTATGATTTTTTAAAATAATACTTTCAAAAAACACAAAAAAAAAAATTACTTGCTAATCAGTAAATACATAAACAGATTATGAATTTAATCAATAATAAATGGAGAATCTTATATTTTCTGAAACAGAGAAATTTCTTTGAAAAGTTAAAAAAAAATTACAAATTTTTTTATAATCAAACTGAAATGGGAATAAATGTCAATACTTGGGATTTCAATCTTCAATATAACTCCATACACTAAGATTTGATATATTTTTATTTTATTTTAATTATTTTAGTTATGACAACTGTAATAAGTTAAACAATTTCATAAATTCTAAAACTAGCAAAAATTATTTTAATATGACATTTGTCAATACTACTTCGTTTTCAGTTACTTGTGTAGCTGAAAAAGTTTTGTCTATATTCAAATTTCTATTTCAAAAATTATATAATTTGACTAACTTAGATTAAAAAAATTAACATTTATACCAAAAATATAGTATTTCATTATTGTGCTACAAAACCATTTAAGCACTAATTAGGCCCATTCTAGAGTTATGGAATGAAATGGTTGAATTTCATTGTCTGTATATTATGCCAAGAAAATACACAATACATGGACAATGAAATCCAACCATTTTATACCATAACCCAAGAATGGGATTAGTGGCACTTACATCATTTTTGCAGCACAATAATATTTTGTTTCACACTTAAAATCTATATATATATACACCAACACACTTTTTGAAAGTTTTCTTTATACTACTACTATTTTACAAAAGCTCTACAGTAGTACCTGTTTTTGCAAAAAAATTTAAAGAGTAATTTTGCTTTTACAAAAAAAAAAGGTGAAAAGCAAAAACATCACAGTGTCTGTTTTGCAGTGAGCCATTACAGTCAAGAGACAGCATGCACTTGGAAAAGAGTGGCATTACCAAGTTCCTCTAGAAACTATACTCAGAATCTCTGCATCAAGCTAAAAAAACTTTTAACTTCTATTGTCTTTTTGCAAAATGACCAGCATGCCACATAAAAACAAGGGAGATCAGTATGTCAGAAACCCCAGGATTACACTGGCATGCCAGTTAAACTGTGACTAAAGTATAAAATTAATCAAATCCAACAAAACTATTTGTCAATTAAAAGTTAAAGGAAACATTCTTCCAAGTACAATAAAATAACATTGTAATTTCACTGACTTAACATCAGGAAGAAAGTTTTCCTTTACAAGACAATAAAACAATTAACAACTTATTGACATTAGGTTTAGTGGGGGCTACACTGACCATCTACCCAACCTTAAAAATAACATCATCCTCTCAAATTTCACACAAAGCTGATGTTAATCAGTGTAAGCTGAGATAATTTACAGTGAGTTTCTTAAACTTAATGTGTTTAATTTATTTTTGCACAAGAAAAGCACTTTTGGAATTCCAAGAGAATTTTATGTTGTTAGAAAAAAGACAAAATAAAGAAATTAAATATATTGTAGTTTTTGATGTAATTCTGAGCTTCACAATTTTAGAAAACTCATTTGTTTTTACATGACTCGTTTGGTTTTTTTAATGCACCCTCTAGAGAAGATGTATAACCTCACTTAAACCAGTACACTGGATTTTACAGAAATATCTGATTTCATGGTCTCCCCGTATAGACTGGCATTCCGGTCATTCTGCAAAAATACAATATGAACATCTGTACTTTATCTCAATTTATTTCGTGCATCCATTAGAAAGATTTATCCTAGTATCAGAAATGTATCAAAAAATATGAAAAGTATGAGAAATGCGTAAGAGCTCATAAGTGTGTTATGCTCGGCATAAACTGTATGTAATTATGCTTTTTGACATATCATTCCTGTTTTTACTGTTATCGTTATTTGGTATGATTTGGTAGATTATGATTAGATTTGGGTTTTTAGTCTGGAAATGCTCAAAAGTTTTTCCCATATAAATTAATGGATGTAAAGTAAATAAGCAATTACCATTTCAGCTTACAAAAAATTTCATAGAAACATACTTTCAGATAGCAAAGGAAACATACATTTATATATATCAGAAAAATTAAAGTTATTATTGCATTTCTATTGTCATAAATTACTTTAGTATGTTTCATATACTAAAATGTTATTAAATTATAACTAAAATATATTTATTTATATCATTCATTTGATTCAAAAAACACTTCAATATTTTTATATTTACATAAAAATGTTTACCATGTCATCAGGTCCTTCACAAGAATGCTTGAAATCTGTATTCTGCAATACAAAAATTCAGCATATTTTAAACTGAAAAAATTTTAGTATATGTAGTAAAAATGTTAAATTGAAAAAAATATATATATAGGGCAATTGAAAAGCTTGGTATCAAACTTCAGGAGCACATAGAGGTGTTAAAACAGAGCAACTTTCAAATAAAAACCCATGTTTGCTAATGCAATCTTGTCAGTATAAACCATCTAATGTGAATTTCTTTGGGGACATATCAAAAGTTTTATTTACAAGATGCTAGTGATGACCTGGAACACACTACTAAGAATTCCTGCAGAACAGATGTAGTCTAGGAGATACCTGGAATATTTGAGAGGATGCACCAGAGTTTCGTTTGAAGGTGTAATGACTTCATTGCAGTGAAGTGACAATTTGAACAACTTTTGTAACAGCACCAATTTGTATATTCATCATTTACATTTGTTTACTATTTGTTATTAAATGTTTGTTCATTCATATGTTTTAGTTGTCATGCTATCCATAACAAAATTACTTACATTAGACAGCTTATACTGATTAAGGATTGCATCAATGAACATATTGCTATTTTAATCCCTCTACACAGATAGAAAGTCAAAGTACTCAAGTTTATTAAAATACTAAAATACATTTTATTTACATAAATAACAATTGAGATAAACAACTACAAGAATAAATCTTTTATTTAAAACAAAATGTTTAATTTCTAAAAGATACTTGAAAGTTGTTTATAAATTAAATTTATCTGAAAAAAAAAATCTGAGTTATCATTTTAGTTAAACATATGCAATAATTTATTACAAATATTTATTTTTTACAGATAATTAAATATAAAAAGTTTTTATATAATTGTAAATTAAATATTAAGATGTTATAGAAATAGATAATTAATTAAAAATGAATAGAATCAAAGTATATTTACTTACTTCAGGTACTAGCTTAGTAAGAAATGTTTCCATATCCTCTCTAAAAAAATAAAAAACATTTCTAAGAAATTCCATAATTACCATTACAAATTATACTACAAGGTGCATCTGAAAAGTTCGGTGGATGGTCCTATTGTTGAGTAACCGTGAGGTTAGGATGTTGTGCTCATGCAGATGTAGTGAGAGACTCACCAACTAGTGGCCCCTAGCGTCAAAATCACGACAGTTAAACAGAAGTGCATGCAACTGTTTGTTGCATGCACTTCTGTTTAACTGTCACATTCAACACAGTAAGTGTGAGAAGGAGTGTCACTGCGAAATGGAGTAACGCGTCAACATCAAGTTTTGCTTCAAATTAGGCAAAACAGTGACGGAAACACATGAAATGTTAGTGAAAGTGTATGGTGTGGAAGCAGTGAGTAAAAAGTGTGTTTTTGAATGGTTTCAGAGACAGAAAAAAAAAAATGTCAACGATGGGCCGTGTTCTGGTCAACCGTCAACAAGCACAACTCCAGACAACATCAAACAAGTGTGACGGATGCTTGCAGATGATCAGCGCCTGTCTTTGAGAATGATAGCAGAAGATTTGAAGATAAGCAAAGACAGTGTGAGCACTTGACAGGCGCCGATCATCCGCAAGCATCTGTCGCACTCATTCGATGTTGTCTGGAGTTGTGCTTATTGACGGTCAACCAGAACGTGTCTCATCGTCGACATCTTCCTTTCTGTCTCTGAAGCGTTTAAAACATTCAAAAACATACTTTTTACTCACTGCTTCCACACCATACACTTTCACTAACATTTCATGTGTTTCCGTCACCGTTTTGCCTAATTTGAAGCAAAACTTGATGTTCACACGTTACTCCATTTCGCAGTGACACTCCTTCTCACACTGACTGTGTTGCATTGTTTGTTGCATGCACTTCTGTTTAACTGTCGTGATTTTGATGCTAGGGGCCACTAGTCGGCGAGTCTCTCACTACGTCTGCGTGAGCACAACATCCTAACCGCACGGTTATTCAACAATGGGACAATTCACTAAATTTTTCAGATGCACCTTGTATTTATATTTAAATAGGTTAATGCAGATAAACAGTAATCTTTTGAATTAATCGATCCTTAATTGATATCTAAAATTTATAAGAAATTTCATTCCATCAACAAAAAAATTAATTAAATTCAAAGACAATCTTTGATGAGTTACCACAAACACAGATTAAATACTAACTGAAGTGTAGGTAATTATAATTGGTTTAAAAATTTAATCAGAAACAAATCTAAAATTTACATAGAAAACAGACTATAATAAAATGATATCCCCTTGTATGTAAATTGTGTATGTTAAAAATAACTCAATTGAGAAGTTGAATGACAGCAAAGCAATTCAATTGATAACTTATAAATGTAAAAATGAAAACTTTCATAACAATTACTATTTTATTAGATATTTGTTCTCAAATAAAACAATGTTTTTTTGAGGTTATTACTGGTAATGCAGTAAATACATTCCTTGATAGTAATATGATGAAGGAAAAACCATTAACAAAAATATATTTTCCATAAAAAATATATTTAACTAGCTGCAAGGACCCACTTCGCTGGGCAAAAAGTAACGATAGTGAAGATTAAGATAATTACATTATAGCCAATCTTACCTGTTTTCACAGAATGCAAGAATTAGGTCCCCCGTTTCCAGACTAATTAGAGAATTTTTACGTCCAGTCAAATGAACTATTTTCAACATTTCTGGAACGTTTACAATTGTTCTATAATCGAACCAATATTCGAATTTTATGTTTGAATTAAATTTGAACAAATTCGAACATAACATTCAAAATAGAAAACCACTTTCAGCCCTCTATCTCCCACACCCTTATAGCTATCGAGACGCAACCACCATAGTGCACGAATGGAGACTTGGGGCTACTACCACATACAAACACCATTCACGTGCGATGTGTAGTTTTGGCGGAAAAGTGAAATATAGGGACATACCCATCCATTTTTATATATATATAGATAATGGTTGAATACATTCCTGGAAAGCAATTTACATATATGAGATTCTTTTGACTCATTATTTGTTCAACTCACAGGAAAGCCGTCATAGTAAAAGAACTCATGTTACAATTAGAATATGTCTCAAAACACTCAGACAAGAATTTTTGATGTTCCTTGACTGAGATCTTCAATTTAGAAAACTTTTATCACCACAAACATACTCCTTTTAGACAAAGAAAAAAAACAAAAGGAAAAAATTATTTTTTCTCAAGACTTCTATGCCTCAAACATTTTGTTAATAGTGATGAAGACAACATCCAAAAATCAAAACAAAAAAGTTGTTAAAAAATTATTTTTTAATTGAAATAAGTAGGTCAATACACTATCCATGCAATACCTATTAGTGACCCCAGAACCATATTAAACCAAAAAATACACAATGAAATTTTTGTATTACAGTACATGCAATTGCTACAAAAATGATGTGCTAATTGTAAATTTTAATTAAAAATTAGCATAATAATTAATCTCATAAAGCATAAATATTAATCAAAAATTAATATAAAAAATTTAAATCAATGTTATAATCTAATTTGGTTTAAAACAATAATTCATTACTTATCTATTTCTATAATTTAATTACTTTAAATATCTTATAAAGACTTTACCTTACATCCGGATCCCAATTCTAAAAATATAAATAAAATATTGTTAGTTACATTAATGTTTAAGATACAGATATTCAAATATTTACATTAAATAAACATGTACTTGCTAAATATGAATAGTTTTTTAATTTTCACTTTCCATTTAAAAATGTTTAAGCTAATTTAACCATTCTAATAATGTTAAAAATCAATTTAAATTTATATCTAGCAATTCTAAAATTAAAGAATTACAGGTATACCTTGCCTTACGTCGGAAATTGGTTCCAGGAGAACAACATAAGTCGAAAAACGACGTAAGTCGAATTTACTTGTCTCCGAATCTACTTATCACTAGGCTAAACCGTAAATTACCATTCCCGGTTCTGTATTTTATTTATTAATGCATTTTTAATAATATATGGTTAATAAAAATCTATTTTAAGCTTACAAACAAATAAATTTTAGTTTTTAATATAGTACAAAAAAGTAATCTAAATTTACGAATGCATGTACTGTAAATACAGTACATACTTGTATAAATTTTAATATGATTTTATGTGCTTTAAACGTTTTTCTAGTGATATTACGACTTCAATATTTGTGGCGGACAGACGTAAAGTCGAATAAAATGACTTAAACTTGATTTTTATTTTTCCATATACTTTTTTAACAAGCGACGTATAATCAGGAACGACGTAACTCGAAACGACGTAAGTCAAGGTATGCCTGTATTGTTGTAAATATTCTTTTTATTAAAATAGATCATACAATCTCTTAATTTTATTCTGAAATTTTCTTATTTGTACTGTATTATTGCATTTTAAATCCCCATTCAGAAAAATTTATTTTATACCATTGATGCATAGTTCTTTAAGTGTAATGAATAATCATACATTTTCACTAAGAGCTTTGCCCACACTTGCTTTACTTACTCGCCCACACAGGCTTCATCCACTTGTTCCCAATATAAACTAGTCAAAACAAAAATTTCATGGTGATTCATTGATTCTCAGTGCTGCCATTTCTATTTTTTTCCATGATGGAAAAAGTGTCACGATGATTTTAAGCTAAGCATTTTATATATATAGACTATAGAGTTCAAGATAGTAGAAATTAACTAGGCATTGAGAATCACTATAATTTTTGTAATAATAATGCAATTATTATAAAATTTGTGTATGCATGTACATCAATCAATTATTATATATAATAATATATAATTATTTCATTGGTGATGTGGGCATTGACTGAGAGACCGCATGTTAAGTGGCAAAAAAGATAGGTCAACTATCTTTTTTGCCACTTAACATCTTTTTTGCCGCTTGTCTTTTCAGGAGCAAGCACAGATCACGGCACACTGACGTGTGGAAATCAGTGGTTGCTGTACAGAGATATTGGTTTATGATAAAGGGGTGTTATGCCACAATCCATCTGAAAACAATCCAGAATTTTCATTCAAAACTAATGACCACAGGTTCAATTGTGGACACACAGACACTGTCTATCCGCATCATAATCTGAGAAAAATGGTGTCATTGGTGGATGGTACCAGTGTGTACATTAAATTTTAAGGTATGCATCCATATTTCCATTTAATAAGGTCATGTCAAATAATTTATCAACTTCTTTGTACCAGAAATATGGAAAGTAACTTGAGAAATTATAGCAATTTCTCAAGTTACTTTCCACGTACTCTGTAGCATAGGTATACTATAGAAAAGAACAAGCCATTAGTACATTAACTACATTTGTCATGGAACCAGGTATGGAGGCTAACTCAGAAAAGGCTGAAATGATACATATTATCTTTAAAACCAATCATATCAGAATGCTAGAGGTTCTAGAGATCTTTAAAGTAGCAAATGGAGATTGTATCAATTCCAAAAACACAGATGCATTATCTTTTGTTTGAAGGTCATTGTATGACTCCATGGAGAAAAGAAGAGAGAAACAAGAGAGAGAGAGAAAAGTAGATCTAATTTAAAAATTTCAGATGACAGCTAAGTTAACCCCTTTATGTAAGCTTAAAGTATGGAGTTATTTCTTTATGAATATACAGTACTGTACATTCATAAAGAAATACTGTACATTGTATTACACTAAAAGGCATTTATATGCTTCCCAGTGTCTTAATGTATTCAATCACCATATTGTAAGGATCTGAACTTAGAAAAGAAATTCCAAAAGCATATAAACAGTAAAGACTTATCAACTTCTTACAAATGATTGTCATTATTTTGATCAATATTTAAAATTGCTAACAAATAAGATTTAAGTTTTCAACTAAAATTTTTATTTAACTTATGAAATAAAAATTACAGTTTAACTGTTTCTATTTAATACAAAAACCTGATAGACTAAATTGCATCATACACAATGGATAAATAACAACTAAAAATTTGAAGAAAACAAAATAGATATACAGTGGTACCTCAGGATACGAAATTAATCCGTTCCGAAACTGAGATCGTATCATGAAAATGTCGTAAGGTGGATCATCTTTTCCCATACGATTACATGTAAAACCAAATAATTTGTTCCAACGCGAAAAACATACTCAAATTAAAGCCAAGTAATACATTAAAAAAAATAACAGTAGTAAGAAAAACAAATGAAAAATGCGAACTAATGTAACATCGTATGGTGAGTTTTTGTTTGTATCGTGGAGCAAAAATATGTTCGAATTTCATGTTGTATCCTGAAAATTTCGTATGCTGGGGCGTTCGTAACCTGAGGTATAACTGTACAAAATAAGTTGCTGAAAGCATTAACACATACACATTATATGTATATTTTACTATATTAATTACCTTATATATTTATGTAAACTATTTTTTGTTATTTCAAAATAATCCATTTTTAAAATCAGCTTGATGACAGGCTTTGATATACTGTATATGGTCTGAATTTTTCATTCCTTTTCTCAAATTTTATCAATTGTATGCATTCATGTCACTTATATTTAAAAATATTTTAATATATAATGATTGAAAATAAAAAAATAAAATCATATATATTGGTAATAAAAACAGACACTCTCTCCTATTTTGAGCATGACTCTTACAAGTTTAACTGTTCACATCTTCACACATCTGAGATCTGAATTTAACTGCAAGAACAAAATACACCCAGAAATTCAGAAACAATTTCTGGCAGTCAATAAACACATCTTTGCTGAAAAGACTCCTGATATTGCAATATATCTCAAGGAAAACAAAAATGCTATTATATAAAACACTTATCTGATCTCTTATGATTTACCAATTCAATCTGTTTTAACCTATTATCTTAGTGATAGCATTAGAAAAAAAAGAAAAGAAAGAACTCTAGGAGAGATACTTTGAGAGAAAAGTCCTCAATTATCTTTGTTAGCAACAAGGAAGAGGGAAAATGTAGAAGGTACATCATTGAGTCGTATTGAATGTTCCAGACATTAAAAATATTCAGAATCAAAATACATAAACTAAATAAGACTGCACATATCAAGTGAATGCATAAAAATAGCATGGTTAAAGAAACACTAACCAAGCTAAAGGGTAAAAGAAAAAGATGATAGATGATAATCAAGACTGAAATAGATAGACTCTCTAGACTGAGATTTTGTGACCCAGTTTTTTATTTGATGAGATATTCAAATAAAAAAACTGGAGAAATAATATAAAGAACAAAGACACAGAGAAGACTGCTTATAAAGGCCAAGGCCTCCAGAACTATCAAGCCAAGAATGATGAATGAAAATATGCAGTATATAATGGTTATGCTGTTATAATTTCAAACTTAAATTTGACTAATTAAACTGCTTTTTTCCAATTAGAATTCAAAGAAAAGGATTATTTATTAGTGCAAAAGCTAAGACAAATTTATTAGAAATAACATTATAATGAACTTAAATACCCAAAACTAAAGTATTATCCTAATATTCAGAGAAAATATGCAAAGTATTCTGCACGTATTTTTTGGGAGACTTCTGTTTCAAACTAAAAATAAATTTAAAATAAGTTACTGCAGCTTTGGCTAATTTATAAAATAGCAATAATCATCACTAAATAAAACATGAATGATGCTTAAATTCAATTATATTAATTTTACTGAGGCAGTCAAATAGTAAAATAGATGTTGTTATTAGAAAATATTACCCTCTCCAAGGATATATTTAAAGATATAGGCTGAGAATCCTTTATCCAAAATCTGAGTGTCTGGAGTGTTGACAAGTGCATCACAAATGGAAAATTCCATGAAGCACTGGGAATGTTTTAGTGTTCTGTCCAAACCCTTTTTGCTGGGTACTTCACCAAGATGATTTTTCTAGTTGCTTAGTTGATAAACTTTCTGAGAAATATATACAGGGCCATCAAAAGTTTGGTATTAGGCCCAAGGAGTAGTAGGTGCCTTTTGCCTTGTTTTTGAACAAATAAGACTGCTCCAAGTCCTACATTATCAGTACATTGTATATCAAACTTTATAGAAATTAAATGCTATGTATTAAACATAATTTAAGTCTATGATATATTATTTATTGTACCTTGTGCAGATATTGTACAATTATAAATAAATTACAGATAGTTTCCTATAAATTATTTTTATTATATATATTATATATTAAAATTAAAACTGTTCACCAGTTTTAATTTTAATAATCTTCTTATTAAAGCAAATAAAAAATATAAATATTCTTTTATATTATTACTAGCTACTTAACTTTATATTAAGTTAATTTGCAACTTAATAAAAATTTATTTCTCACTTTACTAAGCTGTTTTAATTTTAATATTGTGCAAAATCAATATTTTAAGAATTAAAAAATAATAATAATTCTTAAGATTAAATTAAACCCCTAAGTATAAAGTTTTTTTTTCCAATTGTAATGATATTGAAATAAAATATACACAATATTTGTAGATATTCATTTATAATAAAATATTTAAAAAAATTAAACCATAAAAATGATAATTTGACATTCAATATGATCTTAATTATAATAATTGATTTTCTCTTTTCTTACCTCATTTAAAGCCAAGCTAGCTGAAGTATGCATAACTGAAAAAAATAAATATAAATGCAGATTAAATAAAAACTCAGTTCTTTAGAATGACAAACAATATCAATAAAAATTTAGAAATTTTGCATTCAATGAAATTTATGCAAATTATGCATTTATTTCTTAATGTAAACAAAATTGATTTTTATGTTAATTTTCCTAAAACTAAAAGTTCTGTAGACAATTATATGGATAGTTTTAAAATAAAAACAAATTTAAAGATGTAATGATTATGATTTTATTGACTTACAAGAAAGACAATTATCATAATAAATACCTGCTAATAATTGATATTTCATCTTTATAAAGACAAGATAATACTTTTGATATTAATGAATATTTGTAAAGATCAGAAAAAAGTAAAACAGAGTATTTAATTAAATAATATGCTGTTATTAATTATATAATTAAAAATATGCTGTGAACATAATTTCATCAGAAAAACAATATTCAATGTAAAATCACTTAAACTGATTACTACCTGCTACATTTATGTGAGATCCGAAAGGCCCTGGGTCTAATTTGTGAATTTTTATTAAATATGCTTAAATATTCACACAAAATAATACTTCGTTTTTGGTGAAAAATTGGTGTTTTAGTCGTGGGAAAAGATAGATAACAGATGCTATTTCCGTTGAAGGAAGTCCGTACATCCTCTGTTTTTCCCTATCCGTTAAAAATCTCGCTCAAATGGGAAATGGTTACCCCTCATTCATCCCCCTCTCATCCGTTCTCACGAAAGAGTTACTGGACAATGATTGGACGAAATTTGGAAATAAAAGGAGAGATTAGTCAGAATTCGGGGAGTTCATCGACGGAGTTCTTCGACAGATCCGAAGCATCTAAACTCCACATATGTTTCCTCCCGATGGCCAACGCCCATAACGGAGTCCGATAGACGAAGTCCCGAGTCTACACTTAGAAGAAGTGATATTTTTATATTTTGTGCACGAATTGATCTCCCATACGAAAGTAATATGAACTTTATCTACAAGGTGTCCTATATCTACAGAAACGAAGACGACAACTAACAGGTCGTATGTTTAGAATCATTTGTGAGCTCTCTCTCTCGAACGCACATTAGCGTAGATTAAGCCGTGGTCTATAGCTTGTAGTATAATCGTTGTATTTGGTTATTTGTATTCGTTTGTTTAGATTTATTAAATTTTACTTTTGTTTATTATATAAAAATGTCTCTTAATTGGATGTCCGAATCAGATCGCATACGCGTGTTTGTCCGCGCCTCGATAAATTGACAAACTGGTGTCGGGAACCTGACAGGAACGTCTGAACTTCGCAGTTCGGATCATTTTAAAATACGCTCTCCTATGTAAACTTTTACGATCGGATCTTACGATTCGAAACTCGGAGAACTATTCTCACGGAATAGGCCGATTAAGTGGTGCCAACGAATTAGTGTACCCCCGGCTGATCTCACATTTATGTAGACATTTCCTTGTCATATTTCATAACAGCACAAGAAAACATTATTAATATAATATTAATATAAATAAGTTTAATTATTGATAAATACTATTCCCTTAAGTACTAAAGTGTAAATTACATAATTATAGATTATTATAAAATTATTATTATTAAACTTTTGCTAAATATTTGAGAAGTTTAAACTGAGAAAGCATCAATAAGATTTATTGATTCAAATTTTATCTAATTGTGTCATCAGTTTTCTACAATTTTTAAATAACTTATACATTTATTTTATTTTATATTTGAAATTATTTAAATTTTAATATTTTTCTTTTATAAAAAAATTTTAAATACTTAATACAAAATTTAAGATAAACTTTTTCATATTTACTTCGAATCTTGGATAATCTTTTTAATATCTATTAATTAATTATTGTTATTGATAGATAAAAATGTCTGAAATTCGATAAATCATCAGACAACACTATATTAATAACTGATGATGATATAGAAATACTATATAAATCATTCAGAAAATTTTGTCCTTAGAAAATCAACCTATATTAAAAAACATTAAATAAATTCAATTTATAGATGTAAAATAATTTTGTTTTAATCCTAAATAGCTTAAAATTTAAAATTACATCTTCAAAATTTTAAAAATGCAAAGATTTTAAATATATAAACTAAACTAATGTTAAATTTTAAAACAAATATCACTAACAACTTTTTTGTATTATTTCTAACTAGGAATGTCCCAATACCACAAATGTATCTATACTGATATCATGAATAGTTTTAAAGTATCAATATCGTTATTGGTATCAGTCTTAAAGTATCAAAACAGGTATTGGCATCATGTATCAAAACTGAAAATCTTGCTAGCTGTCACTCTTCAGTCTGTTGTATCACCTTCCAGTTGTTTTTACTGCTGAGAAGGTTACTGTACTCATTACAATGAAGGATAAATCATAAATGGGACCCAGAACAGCAATTAATATTTTGTTGCTTACTCCAGGAAATTGAATCCTGGCCATCTGATTCAGAAGTCAGTGCATCAGTTAATACTTCAGTACTGACTGACACACTGACTTCTGAACCAGATAACCAGGATTCTTTTATGTACAGAAAAGAAGCCCCAGATTTACAGTTCTGCTAATAGGCTCTGTGGGTACTACTATACACAGGATAGGAATAGATAAATCATTGGTAAAGAAATAAAACAATGTCTTTACATTAAAAGTTGTTTATTGTGCTCAAATTTTACAAATTTTGCAAGCAAGTATAAACAAACTGTAGCTCATTTTAAACATCTACAATTGTCTAAGTGAATAACAAACAAAATTACTAAATAATGTTTAACTAAGTATTTATTTATAATGAACAATTATTTATTGCAACATCATCACAATGAGCTGCAATTTTTAATCATATTTTTAATTAATTTAATTTAAAATATATGCTCTCCATCTCAAATTAGTAGTGACCTACCCCTGTAAATCATACTTTTCCTTTACAAATAGAGTTGTCATGCCAGTCATCTATTAACTGCTTTCAGGAAAAAAGTTTTGAATTGAAATAACATGACTTCCAGTTTGCACTTGAAGTTCATATATAGTTAATTGGGGCCTCCTACTCCTAATGTTTTCTTATCTGGTCTCCATATTCATTTACCTAACTCCATTCTCGAGACTAAGAAAAGACAGACAAATGAACAACAGTGGGAATTTATAGGTCTAGAATTGTTTTCAAATTGCAGACCAAATAGTAATCAGAACTCTAAACATATACAGATTCTGGAAATGAAATTTGATGTAATACATTTATTGGTTTTTGGTCATTAATATTTTTATATATGTTTAACTTAACATTGAAAATAACATAAAATTCCATTTCAGTTTCTAATTTGGTTGCAAAATCCAATTTCAGTAAGACCTTACCTGTCTGTGGGAAATGTAACGATAACCAATCTGATATTCGAGGAAAGTATCAATACCAGCATTGGCAGTATCAAAACATCCCTATTTCTAACCTTAAAACAATACAGATGCATCTGATATATCTATATATTGAAATTTAATAGAAAGAAAGCAGATAATAGTCAAATTTACATTAATTATGGTTTATCCAATTAACAGGCAAGTTAGTTAACTGATGATTAAATGAATAGTAGATTATATTATTTTAATTTTTATAAGATGCAATGGCTTCGCCTTTAACATATTTTATACTGTATTAGTAATAGACCCAAAAAATCAAATCTTTCAAATAATTCTAATATAATCTATAGATGATATTTTTATATTATAACTGTATCAATCTATTTTATGTTTAATACTTTTGATTAATCAAATTAACATAATCAAAATGTATCATCTAAAATAAGAAAAAAACCTAAGGAATCAAGTTTCATACTAAGCTTAACATTTTAATAATTATTTTGGCTTATTGCAAAAAAGGTATTGAACATAAATTGATTAATACATCATAATACAAAAAATGCCATAAAAGTGATCTTAACGACAAAGGATTATGTTCATTTTCTTACTTTGTCATCTTGAAAATTAGTTAAATTATAGTAATAGGAAGTAAATGAAATAGATGGGTATATGGAGGATGTACTGCTTGAAGTGTAAAAGATCATTAAATGATCTGTCCTATGATAACAAGTTGTCATCTGCATACCTAATGTAGAGGATTAGAAAAACATTGTTAAAGGTAAAGAAAAAAATTTAATATTTTTCATGATTAATCCCACCAAGACAGCTGATAGAGGGGATCTTTGGGTCCACCTTGTTTTTATAAATAAATTTGGTTGTTGAAACAGGAATAAATATTTCTCTTCACCTTTAACATGTTTTCCAATCCTCTACATTAGGTATATAGATGACATCTTGTTAGCATGGAATGGATCATTTAATGATCTTTTACAATAGTGATAGGAAAAACCAATAATCAAAATTATATTATTTTCAAACTTACAACACAAAGAAAATTTTTTGAAAAAGTAGCAGAAATTCAAAGTAATAAATTATTAACCATTAGTGCAAACTATTGAATTAGAACATTTAAAAGTTTACACTCGATAATGTAAAATTTACATACTATTTATATAATTTTGCTTTTAAAACATATAAAAGCAATTAAATAATAATCAAGAAGAGCAAAATTCTCAAACTATTTTAACATAGATTTTATTGCAAACAATAAATAAGTTAGAAATCAAACAATATTTATTTATAAAAGTTATTTTTAAACAAGGCAAACAAAACTGATTTTCAGCACAAAATTCTAAGAAAAACATTTTCAACCATATTTCATGTGGAAATTGGTTTAATTCACCTTATTTATTCAGGATAACCAGTTTCGAGTAGTTGATTGTAATGGTTTTCAAAGTCATAAAATACTGCATCTGCCATATTTGAATGTGGGGAAAAATATATATATATATATATAAGGACAGATTTAATTTCTTTTTTTTTTCTTAAAATTGAACAAGGCTTTTAAAACAAATGAAAAATTTCTTCAAACACAAAATGCATTTTGCATAAAATTAAAATATGCAACATTTCATTTTCAATACGAAATTTCAACAACTTAACATAGCACACATAACTTAAACACACATTACTTTTCATATTTTTACTTTTAAACATTGCAAGAAGTGAAGTTATTGTTATGCATTTTAAGAAGCACTTGTTTGTTGTTGTTGTTATTTATTAAGTTTCAGCAATGCAACACTCAAGCAATCTGTCTATGAGGACACCTCCCGGGAGGTCTTTTTAAGGGTAACCAGCCCCTATTCCTGGCATTACACACACGGAGAAGACCTGGAAACCTGCACCTCACCAGGACGGGCTGGCGAGGCACAAAACCAGACCGAATTTCCAGTGTTTGGGAAACAGAACTGCTTGGCAGCACTTGTTTGATTTCACTTCAGAAAATACATGTGCTTCCTAAAAGACATTTGGAAAAGCTTGTAAAGTTAAATCCCACCCTCAAGCATGTTCTATGAGTTTTGGCAGAAGCAATAATAGTTATTAATTAAACTACAATTTTGCACTACAACTTTCATATTTTGTAATCATGCAGCTTTTTTATTGTTATTTCGATACTCACTTTGAACGTGAAGCAATCCAATACTAATTCTAGAAAGTTCAGGTACTTCTATAAGAATTTCATTTGTTATTAAATGACAACCTCGATTAACGGGGCGTAAATGAATTTGTCTCTGTATCCACGATGAGCCATGACGGATCACTCCGTTCGAAGACGATGCCATTATTCATATCAATAATTTCCTATTACAACTCGGCCTATCAGGCCTCTTATAATTAATGCAAATATATTTGGCGACCGGCTTAAAAATAACTGCAAAAATGACTTATAATAATTCACTTTAAGAAATCGGCTGTCATTTTTTACCATTAGTTGTCATAGCAACACTTTCATTCGCCCTCTTCCGGTAATAAATGGAAACGTAATAAAATTTATTTCGAATTAAATTATAATTTCATTTGCTATATGTAAACTGTTTATTAACTTTGTAATAATTGTTTAAGAATATTACTGCGATTAATTTGTTTTTATTATGTCGAATATGATTGTTGATGATTTTGCTAAAAGCCGACTGTTTTCATTGGTGTTTAAATATTGATGATATCGGGTTCTTCCTAAGATAAAAATCGTTGAGAATAATGTAAAATACAATGTATATGTATATATTTATTAATATATAATGAAAATTTTGAAGTTTTCCAAATAAATGCGCTAAATGTTAATATACTGTACGTATTATATACAGTACTAAGTATTCTTCGATCTAAAAAAATCCCATTATCAAAGAAAATAACATAAAAACTGAAAATTTAAAAATTTTTATGCAAATAAACGTAAGAATTTTTTTCTAGAAGATTTTTGAATATTTCAGATTCGTTGTTGCTGAGCAAAACAACAACAAATCTAAAATAATGCATCAGTTCCGCCGTCTAGATGACCGAAGCATCGGCCTATCGTTTTGGGGTACCGGGATCGAATCTGGGCGGTCGAAAAATCCTAAAAATGTTTCGAGGACAGTCTGCCCCGAACATGCCAGGCGCCGTCCCTCATCACCCACCAATCATTGTGGCCGAACTTACGACGGGCTTCATGAGGCCTTTTAGTGTCTCTTATCAAACCTATCATATAATCATAATTAAACACAAAAATAAAGAAAATGCATTTCTTTCTCGTCTTATTGGGGCTTGTCCGAACTTTAAGTGTTGTAAGTTTAGTACAAATATAAATAATTTATAAAATGTGCATGATTTGGTTAAATATAAATTATTTTCCAACTAACTCGCAAGTTATTACATTTCATTTATTAAAAAATAATTATAAAATAACGATAAGGAATTATACAATTAAATTCGATCTTGCTTCATAAAACTTCTTAATGTTTTATAATAATTTTCAATATATACAGTGATAAGTATCTCTTATTAAAATACCTGTAAATAATAAATTATATTTTAAAGTTTAACCTCGTCAGTAATATCTCTGACTGAGCGATATCATCTGTTATCTATACACTCCAGCAAACTCAATAAAAATTCCTTAACTTTCACCTTTATTCAAGTACATATAAGTAGATAGATAAGTAAAATGCGGTTATTACCAGTATTTTATTTTTCTGTTTTTAGAACAACTCTTAATCGTCCATTTAATATCGTCCATATTTAGTAGACAATTGAGTGAAAATATTAGAGTGAAATTAAGGAATTTATTAAAATTTTAAGCACTTTTTTAGGATTTAATTTCTGTCAAGTTCGACTCTGGCTGTTACGCACGTGTGTTCTTGGCCTAGAGTTATTACATTGTTTACATAAGTTTATTACTATTATTATTATTACGGTTCTAGAAACGTTTTTATAGCTACAAAACGCAAATCACTTTTCTCTAGAAAGTGATAAAAATTCGCGTAAGTAACGATATTAAATTAATAAATAGCATATTCATAAAATTTTATATTTGTTTTATAGACTAAAATCGATTTTTATTATAATTGATAAAGATTTTTGCTGAAAAATACAGATCCAAATACCATAACAGAATATGCTTAGCATCCGAATCTTATTTTGGGTCCTGAATATTATATACTTTAAATTTAATAAATACATTGGACATTAATTAAACAATACAGTACAATAGTTGTAATTGCAATAGTGTAACTATAAGTGAAATAATTCTAAAAATTATGAGTAGATTCTTGGCTGGATTTATATGCATTTATAATTAATTAACTTGCACCATGACATCATGAGAAAACAAATTAAGTAATTATATTTAACTGCATCTATAATAATATTTATTAAAATCTTTAATAAAACAATATTTTCAATATCATATAATATATTGTGTACTGTATATAGCCTATATAAAAAGTGAATACATTTTATGTTTACGTATAAAAAATTATAAATAATTCTTGCATAGCTTGTTTTTTAAATACAGTGTGCATTTCGTACCAATGCCATGTATATATGCAGTATGCATTATGTCCTGAGTACGATGTACTATGTACTAACTTGTGTATTATGTACTGTACTATGTGCAATTTGAAATATATACTACTGTATATCCTTTGTGCATATACAGAATGTTCTGCGAGTTAATTGCAATATTTTTACAGAGTGTTCTATAGGTCGAGGGGATCCAAAAATATCTTATAAACATAGCTAGGAGTAAAAGTTCAATTTAGCTAGCCTTTAAGATGCTGCTCTGCAGCACTGCTAAGCGTTGCGGTAAAGCTATATCGCTGTCCTTCAGCTTCTGTGATGTACTGAAGAGCCAAGATGTGCAAGCGAACCTTACGCAAAACATAAGTTTTACTTGCAATATTATAATTATGTAGTACGAAATTATATTTATAATACTGTAATATATTTTTAATATACATTATCTATAACGTACAAATATGCTATGGTTTATTTACATTTTCAAAGTAATATTTTATTTATTTCTGTGTTTAACTTAAACTAATAAATCTCTATTAAGAATCCTCTTCCATTTCATTAAAATGACATAAGAATTGGAGTTTTGCGAACGATTTCGGTTTACTGAATTAATCGAATAGCAATGAATATCCAGCTTTATTCCCCGATTGTTATTCAGTCTGGCAATTAAGGTCAGTTTGTGGAAACTAAAAAAACTACCACAAAATGAGTGTCGCCTTGACGTAGCTTTGTGACTTAATATAGGGAAATTGGATCGAAATTTTTTACAGATAACGTTTTCCACGGTCATAAGTATAGAGGCCCTACCATAGGGCCTCTGTACTTATGACCGTGACCTACCATAGGGCCCGTGTACTTATGACCGGCCCGTGTACTTATGACAGGCCCGTGTACTTATGACCGGCCCTACCATAGGGCGAATGGAGCAGCCGCTCCAGGCGCTAAGTCCTAGTAGGCGCCTCAATGGTAAAGAAAATTAAAGGGTATAAATTAGGGGCAACCAAGGGGGGCGCCATAATAGGATCTCGCTCCATCCTAAAACTTGCCTCGGGCCAGCACTGCATAAGTACACCCGACAGAAATTTCAAAACTATTTTAAAATAATTTTTACCAAGCTGTGTTTTGTGACTTTCTTAAAAGCCACACAGAAACAAGAAGTATTACATGTGTTGAATACAATGTGTTGAATATTTAAAAATAGAAATAAGCTTAAGCATAAAATAAAATATGTACTATTTTGATAAATAAAATAGAAATAAAGCGATACAATTAAGAAAAGGTTTGCAGTTCAGAATGCATTCGTATCTTTGACACGAATTTTAGGTGGTTCTCTGGTATTTCATTTTTTGTTTTACTTACAATTACAACTACAATGAAGTAAAGTAGAAAAAAACAACGTTTTAATGTTTGGAATAGTAGATAGCGTTTTAAATTGCATACCAGCACCATGCTTTCAACGGCTGCTAAGGATGGATGAGATGCATTGGCATTATTTTCCTTCTAGTATCGATAATTTTATGCTAGTTATCCGAGCAAAATTATGGTAAATTTGTACGTTTTCTTCAAGAAACTGTTTTTAATAATAAAAAAAAATGCTGTTTCCTTCCATGTTCAAAAACATTTCCGTTATTATGCTTTTTAATTAAAATTAATGTTGTTTAGTTTCCTTCGTTCAGCTTGGATTTCAAATATAGGCTGAAATTGTCTCGCTTTGAATCTATTCTCCAATTGTCCCTTTGAACGAATAGTTGCATCCATTCTTCCTTCTATTATTTTTTCGATTCCATCAATGCCCATGTTTCGGAAGAAGTAAAATTACGCCTTTTTTTCTATCTTCCATTTCTCACCAGAACTCACGTCGGAGACAACTTGCGCCATTTGAAAATTGAAACTTCCTGGGATATATTCTTATAATCCTATTGGACAAAACAGTATACAGTACTCTCTAAATCTTAACATTGATATTTTGTCGTAAAGAGTAAATCGAGTTATGATGAGCTTCGTGAATTGCAGATATGATATGTCATAAATTTTGTCGTATTTAACAACATCGCAAGAATACGATGTTGTAACTAATGAAATTCATGAATCCGGGCTCCAGACAATGATTTTTAAAATTTAAAACGTTTATTCTATATTGTATGTATATTTTTCTGCAAATTCATACAAGTTTACGTTTAATTAAATGTACAAACTTAATTTTTAAAAATTCGCTAATTCGAAGCAATCGTATCTACTGAACAAATCGGCACCCGGAAATAAAAACCAAAATTCCCACTGTAGTTACATACTGCTACAACGATTCGATGACAGTCATTAGCCTGCTTTGTCGCCGTTTGGTTGATCAGATAGATCTAGGTAAATAAAAATATATCAACACCAACGAAGGACAACCACTTTCTTCATTCCAGTTTCATTCATTTTAAGTTTGCTTATAGTACAATATATTCCATAACTGCTAGTAAACTTGATACTAACATAATTCCGATGAAAAAAAATGTAAAAATGTTTTTTGCTTTGTAATAAAATCAAATAAATAAAGTTTGAAAACGAATTTATTTTAAGTTTCGTATGAATTTTTTTCAGATTTCCGAAAAAATTTATTAAACATTCCCATTTTCTTAACTTTGTTTAAACTGTTTATGCGATTTTAGTTGAATTTTAACTCATTCGGGACATTCCAATTTTCAACGCGAGTGTTGAGTGTTGAAGTCAACAATTTGACGTCATCAACGACGTTCCAACTCGAGTACGAAGTGCTTAGTTCCCATAATTCCATTCTCAGCAAGATGGATTCCATTCAAATGTCTTACCAATTACCCACAATTCATTGGAAAGTAGCAGTCGACACATCTGGTGAGTGCTGAGCTGCATCACTTTTTTCAACGTTGAGGTAGCGCTGACAACAGCGCTACCTCAACGTTGAAAAAAGGAACGAATTTTAACGAATGTTGAGATCAGCGCTGAGTCAACGTTGAAAATTCGAATGTCCTGATAGATTTGGTTTTACGTCATTTTAGAAAATTACTGTACCTATGTTTAAGTTTTCAAGTTGTCTTTTTTGTGCGATTTTTCATGGAACGAATCTATCGCATGAAAAGACATCCGACTGTATATAACTATTTACATATATAAACATTCAAAATCCTATCACTTGTCATCTTCATTTTTAAAATTGTTCTAAAATCCGAAACGACTCAATCCATTTTATTCAGTGTTTATATTTATCTTTTACCGCTTTTACCGATTCTCATTGGTCGTGTTGAAAATTTAGTTTATTTTCAAAGATGGTAGCCATAATTTTTCTTTATAAGATTGATGATTTCTCAAATACTATTCCATTAGATTTAATACTTGCAATAATATTGATTAAGATATAATTAAATTAAGAAAATACATTTTTCTCTTAAGGTCACAGTTTATTCCAAATGAACAGTTATGTTAAAGAATTAATGACCATATTAAGACTTTGAAGCAATGCTGCCAAATTTTGAAATCCTGAATTCGTCATTGACCGCTTTAAAGTTCTTTCATTTGGTTTCATTATCCATTTTTACATATTTTAGAATCATTTGAAAATCTTCTATTTTTGTATTTGTTCTATAAATTTCCCCCATAAATTTAAATAAAACTTTTGATTTAAAAACTGGAATATAACTTGCTTGGATGCATTCTAGAAATAGAATTTATTTATACTGTATTATGAACATTAAATTGCCATTACTATGTAAATTATATTGAGATGATATCAAGGGGTTGCGGCCGGATGGCCCAGCGGTCAAGGTGGCAGCCTACCGCTCTAGAGGACCCGGGATCGAATCCGGACGGGTCAAAAAATCCCTAAAAATTTTTCGGGGAATCTCGGATATGTCGGGCCCCATCCCTCACCACCCGGCTGCCCCATTGTGGACCTGACCGAACCCATAATGGGCCTGTCCTCTTAGTCCCCACAGGGCGGAAAGAGTAAAAAGAAAAAAATATTAAGGGGGTTTTTTAACACGCATATACTTTTTTGCATGTAGAGCTCATTTAATGTTATTTTCGCACATAAACCTAATAAAAAATAGTATCAGAAAAAATAAAAATACATAAATTTACATTGAAAACAGACACAATATAAAATATAAGGCATATCTACATTGCTTCCAGCTTCCGAATTGATTGGCGTTTTATTAACAAAATACTTAAAATTTAATATTAAATTTTGAAAACAAAACCAACGAGCTAGAATATATCCCAGCTCGTTGAACAAAACATAAAACAGTTATAAAACACTATATTTATTAATTACATTTAGCTCTAAGGACTTATAAATTTTTCAATTCTTCATTGAGATTTTACTGTTTAAATTTTTCGTATTGGAGAAAATTCTTCAAATCTGGCAACATTTCGAAGTATATTGAAATAGAGCCCTCTGGTGCGGTTTAATATTTTAAAATTTAAATTTTTAAAATAAATACAGTACTTAAATTATTATTAAATTAAAAAAGAGTTAAGAGGGAAATTATTTATAAAAATAATTTCCCTCTTCATTTAGTAATAATTTAATATTTTGTTATCAAGTAATCTTAATTATATCGTTCCGGAAACAGATCAATTAATAATAGCTAATTCGTCACTTCCTCCGTCCCATGGAAATGGAGTGAATAGAATATAAACAAACGGTTTGTTTTCCAGCACTGTTGTGATCAATGGATGCGGAAGAGAAATCGCTAGAAGATGTTGCTGTTTCACTGATAAGAGAATTCTTATGTAGAAAGGTGAAAATAAAATTGATATGGAAAATATTCAGATATATGATGTAATGATTTATTCAAATACATTCTATTTATAAATATATCGACCGGGAATCGTGTTATGGAAGAGAAGAGACACAGATGTCTCCTATCTTCAATAGGCTTACGTGTAGTTTGAAGAATCTTATGAAATATCCCGCTTCCAATTCATATAACGGTAAATAGATAAGAATGTTCTAATTAAACCAAGTAAATTTCTTACTTAGAAACTTAAATACAAATGAATTTTATATATTTTAGCAAATTTAAATTACCATGCCCCAATTTATATTTTATCATCCTCATTTTATTAATTTCTCATGTTTATGGATGAATGTGGTTAAATTTTTAAACATTCTTATTATATAATTTGCCATTCTAATATCATTTAAATTAATAATTATCATCATTTTATTAAAGTTGCTGTATATTTTCTTTTTTAAAGTTATTTCAAATATAAGAAACTATTATAACAAATTATTATGTAAATGTGTAGCCTAGTTACAACCAGAAGTGTCTAAATCTTAGGTAAAACCATTTCAAAAATTTTATTAGCTATAAATTTGTTATATACATAAAGAATCATATGAATGTATTATATGTTTTTAGGATAATTATTTAAATATTAAGCTTAAAACATTTAAATTCTTTTATCTATGCTATTATAGATAGGCTATAAATTTTAAAATTGAATAATAAAGTATGGTTGTAACTTTTGGTATATGTCTATAAATGACTATCGTTATGTATGATTCATAAGAAATTATTACAAGTGATAATAAAAAGTAAGGATATTTTGATTTATCCTGAAAATGATTTAATTAAATTATTTTTAGAGTAAATCAGAGATTAACTTTTAAAAGACTGAATTATTCAATTTTTTATATATTTTATGAACTGTAGAATATTATTAAAATAATTGTGTAGAGAGAAAGATAACTTCTTGCCTCCTCTACACTTCTTTACTCACTTCTCAAGGAAGGAAGAAGGAAGTCTATACAATTATTTTATTCTTTTCTTATTATTAGAATTTTTTTCTCATTTCTATAATCATTTGATAATGGAATATTTAATATATTATAATTATGTAACAAAATAGAATTTTCAGCATTTTCTGTATTAATATGATAAATAGATATGAATATTAAATTAATTAAATAATAAATAATTAAAATGTAATCTGATAGTAATAAATTCAATACAAATTGTCATTTATTTAATGTTTTTAATAGAAAAATATGAGTAGAATATATTAATTTTCTGTTCAATTTTTTCTAAAAATAAGTATATTCAAAATGCCAGTAATATTGTGTTATGACACAAGATACGGTACTTTATATCATAGGCTATAATTTTTAAACTATATGATATAAAGTACACTGCAATGAATAATATGTAATAAATATTATATTAGGTAAATTATTAAATATTCTGCATATGACATATCTCTTAATTGAAAAAATGTACAGTTTTTGAAAACTAAAGTTTGGCAATTTTACTTTAAGCCACATATAATAAAAGAAAGACAGTTTCTATATGTTTCAATGTTTTATATTAAATATATAAATGTTTATAACATTATAAATAAAGAAACATTTTTAGTTTTATACATAAAAAAAATAATTATATTAATAATAATTATAAAAAATATATGATTAGAAATGCATGGTTGAAATATTTAGTTATTAGATCTTGATTTAATCATGTAATGTGTAAATATTTAATCATTTCTCCTTACTTCAATATTAAAATAACTCTTTAAAAGAAAATCATTAAAACCTATTTAGTTTCTATTTTTATCCTTTAATATATTTTACCAAAAGATATGAGTACACTTGCTTATTTAAGGTAAGTGAAAAATATTTATTCTGCAGAAATGTTTTTGGCTTTCTTGAAGCTATCTTCAGTTATTGAAATTAGAGCAGTTAATATATTACATCATTAGAAAAAATATAGGTAGAAATTCATTCTAAAAAATTATCATATACATTTCCAATTGATATTATAGTACAAATATATAATCATTTTGTCAATTTCTAAATAATAGAATATATACGTAATAAAAGTAAATCAATTTCTAAACCAATGATTCCAAATATTTTATAGATAAAAAAATCTTGATTTAGGAGATTGTATATTTATGTTGTATATGTACACTTAAGAAGGTTTGTGTGTGTGAATATGTATGTACTGTACATATACAGTTCAGGCATCATTTTTCTAAAATACTATACATAGAATGCATAAATCATCACTATTAATGATGATAAATTTATTCATTATGCATAATTTTAGGTTTAAATAAGATGTTAGAAAAACATATTTAAAAAGATAAATGATTCATAGAATTTTTACTGATATACTTTAGATGAATGTGTTTGAATAATTTTGTTTAAAGAATTATTTAAGAAATTTTTTATTTAGTTTTAATTTGAATTAAATTTAAAATTATCAGATAATTAAAGAAATGATAAAGCAGAAGTTTTATTTTGATATGGAAGATATTTTATTACTTGAGGAGAGTTACACTTTAATAGATTGATCAATATTATGTTTTAACTTTATTTTAAAGATATTATTAATCACAATTTTTTAAAGTTTCTTTTTTTATATAATGAATGACATTTACAATTATTTGTGCTTATTATATTTTCTAATTGATTAATTAATATTTATTTCTCATTGCACACATTATATCTTAAATATCAAGATAAATTAATAAGAATTCATCTGTGCTGTATAATATAAAATGCATATTACTTTGTGTGATTCAAGAGTAAGTCATAGTAAAATACAGGAATTCTTGCTTATAAATAAGACTTCATTTAGTGTGGAATTTACTGTAGCAAAAGTGGCTATTCATTCCAGCAACTCACTTTTCACTACATTGCTAAATTGTGCACCAACAAATACTTATCTGCATTTGCTGGTGCACAATTTAGGCTTTTTCATACATGTTTTTAAAAGATATAATATATACAGTGGGTGATCGGTTAATGAACAGTTCGGATAACAAACACTTTCGTGAAAGATTTTTATGATCGGACAACGAACACATGTTCGGATAATGAACACTTTACTGAACAAACATAAAAAGAAGCGACAGCAAAATAATGAATACCCATTGATTTTCCCTTGTCTTCAGGTAACAATTCGAAACCTTTTGGAGCGCAGGAGACGTCAACATCGACACTCAATCTGATACCAATCAGATAGTATCCCTCTGAATTTTGAAACTCTCCCTTGTAATTCCAGCTTTTTGTTTACCTTTCTGACAAATAATTTTTTATAGTCTTCATGAGACTGTTGGATGGGCACTTGTTTTGTGTCGGAGGTTTATTTACAAAAGGTGAAAGTTTAACTGTCCCATCAGATATTTGTTAATGTTTTAATACCAAATTTCGAATTTCATCTGGGCCTTACGTTTAAATAATTTTTTATGGGCTAGTTGATTTCTGTTCTCTGAATTTTTGTAAGTTCATTTCTGAACTTTTTATTTAAAAAAGAAACTGATAATATTATGGAGCCTAAAAAAAAATTGTCAAGAACTGTGCTCACCATAGAAACCAAGTAAGAGATAATAGCCAAGATAGAAAGTGGGCACAATATGTCTGATGTTGCTAGGCAGTATGGCTTGAACAGATCTACAGTAGGCACAATCTTAGCTATGAAAGATATATCAAGAAGTCTCAAGCTGCTAATGGAGTAATGAAAATCGCATCTGAGAAATAACTGAGAAATATGAAAGATATATCAAGAAGTCTCAAGCTGCTAATGGAGTAATGAAAATCACATCTGAGAAATAAAGAACATTTTAGAGCTCATAATGGAAACTGATCTGACAACAGAAGAACTCCAGGGATGTCAGAACAACGATCATCCAAGTGGCATCCAAACCAGAATAAGGTTAATGGGGTTGGGGATCTCTACAATTACAATACTATTCATTACTTCCGAAAAATCCTGAAGAAAAGAGAAAAGCAATCAACATTGGACAGATTCTTTAACCCTCACAAACGGAAAAAACATGACTAATAAAAATGCAAGACTGCATATATATGTATTTTTACTATTACATATAAATAAACTTAGTAAAAAAGTATATATTTTTTTATTTTTTGAAGTCTCTGGAACGAATTAATCAAATTCCCATAAAAACCTATAGTAAATTGATAATCGGTTAACAAGCAATTTGGATAATGGACAAAGTCTTGGAACGGATTATGTTCGTTAACTGATCACCCACTGTATTTTGATGTAATTTTGAATAATGATCCAAATGAAGAAAGAAGCATTAATATACAAAGAGCTTTAGAAAATGCAATTTTATGCTATAAGGAACTTTAAATAGAAAAGAAAGGAAGCAGATCCATACATTATTGGAAAATTTTTCTCTTTTAATAAAAAAGAATTTCAACTTCAGTTGTAAAATAAAGAAATTAAAAATTTAATCACAATATTGATGGAATCTTTTTTATTTCATCTTCCTGTAGTTTTTTATGGATTTTGTAATCTATTATTAAGTCATTTCTAATTATTTTTAAGTGGAAAAAAGAAAATCTATTTTCAAAAAAATTATCATTTTTGTTTTTTGCTAGTTATATTCCTGATTAGTATGGATTTAATTAGTGCAGTAATTTTCTAGACTGCATTAAACTATGTATTCCTGTATCCATTCTTATTATTACAATATTTAAATATTATTTATAGGTCTAACTAAAACAAATTTTTAAATTGTAATATATTAAATTTTTAGTTAAATATTTCAATTTTATTATTTATTAAAATACAAAATAAATTTATAATTTCTATTAAAATACATAATTTATTAAAAATATTTCTTTAGAGTATAGAAAACTATATAATGCCATTATTACATTTAGAAACAGCTGATAGAGGTTTTATTGATGTAACAGTTTTAAATTTCTATTAATTATCATTCAATAAATTATTAATAAATAAATTTTATTTCATCAGGGATTAAAATTAACTCTGAAGTGCCTTGATCACGAATTTAATCAAGAAGAAAACTATATCAGTGATCGTCAAGAATTAATCCAAGAATTGCATTTAGAAAAACTAGTAAAAAAAAATAAAGTATGTAAAATAATTTTGATTTGTTTTTAACAATAAATTTTTGAAGAGTTAATATAATAATACTATATCAATTGTTATTTTTACTTCCCCTGTCCAAAAATAGTTGTTAATTTCTTAATTTATGCCTAAATAAAATGCAAACTCAAAAAAAAAATTAACTCTTATTTAAAGTCAAATGAATGCTGAATTATATTGAACTATGTTATTTTATAATTATTAATTAAATGTTAAGTAATTTGGCAATAGAGGCAGGTACAGTTAATTGGTAGCAGCAGCAGTCCAATATAATCTGGCAATCATTTGGCTTTAACATGTAATTATTGGGTTTGAATATTAATATTTGTAATTTATTTATTTACTAGCAGACCCCGCCACGCGTTGTTGTGGCTCAAAATGTATCTATTATGAATTTATAACACTTCCCCCGTGAGGGGATTTTTTGAAAAATTTCTTCTTAGTGTACATTCTCTTGACGTACCCTATTAAAACGCAATCAAAAATGCAAAAACCCGCATTTAAAATAGTATAAATAGAAGCAGAGTTCTTTACGGTAAGCCTTAATCCCGTCCATCTCCCGGGGGGGATTTCGACACGTAAATTATATAAAAATACGTGCGTATTCGAATGCAGCGTTGTGTCAAAATTTCAAAGGAATCGGTAGGAACAAACGAATATTACATTTTTATTTATATAAACAGATAGAAGATGATCCGCTTTAGTTCATTTTCACAGAAAAGCATAATGCCTCACAGAAAAGCAAACTTAAGGCATCGTACTCGTAGCGCCATCTGTTGGACATAAAAGCCTTAACCCTAGATGATATAATTTAATTTATATGAATGTTTAACGGAATAATATACAGCCTATGTCCACCCTGAAGTTCCATTCTAAATATTGGTGAAAAAATTTTTGAAATCAAATGAGTAGTTTCGGAGATTACCCGCTGCAAACAAACTTACATACAAACATTACCTCTTTATAATATTAGTATAGATAATAAATGTTTATTTTACCACCCTTCCACTCTCCAGAAAAGACCATGTGCCATTGGAGACATGTCTTTTTATACATTTTTGACCCAAAATGAATGTTTTGATTTGTCAAGATCTCTCCTTTCCCTATTAGTCCCCATTCTGTTGCTAGGGATTGAATTTGAGTTAGAGGAGGGTGGACATCTTCCTCCATCCCAATGCCAAGCCCATCACTCCTTAAAGTGTTTAATTACAACTTCCTTGGGATGATAGTTTGTAATTAGAAAAAGATGTGTTTTCCTTAATTATGTTTGGGGATCCTGTTTGGGGAAAGATGCAGCTGTGGCTAAAAAATTTCACTGTAAACCTTGATGCAATAAAGTATTTTCCCTTCTGTTCATCTGATGTATCGAGATGAGAGGTTGAGATCACTTGTTTACAATTTCTCCCTTCCCAACATTTAGCTCACTCTAATTATATTTCTTTTAACCACACATTTTCACATCTTTTGAAACAAAAAACTATTTTACTGTCATCAATGTTTCCCACAAGAAAGCAAATACAAAACAAGTGAGGGGAGGTTCAGACCTCACAATTTAACAATGCTAGGGATAGCTGTGAAATCAATAATTAATGTTTAATAACAAAAAACTATTAAATTGTATTTAACACCTTTCTGTTATTTGAATTTAGAAATAAAATGGGTAGTGAAGTTGAAGAAAATTATAGTTAGTCCACATCCCCTCTGGTTTAAAAGCTCATTATTGGAATCACATAAAACATTTGACACTCCATTTTTTACTTTCCTGGCTGTTATGTATACATAACAAAGGAAAGTAATGGAATTATCAAATTTGACCCTCTGAGTTTTTTGCAAATCTCCACATTTTGAGACCCCCTGAACCTAAAAAAGTAAAAAAAAAGGCAAAAGAATTTTGTGTGTTTGTGTTGGCATCTATTTTGTTTAATATTTCAGGACAGGGTGAAAATTAATTAAGAAACAAAATTTGGCCTGATAGCTTGTATATGAAGGGCATTAATGCTATTACATTTTGGTGATGAAAGGTCAAGAGAGAGGGGAGACAGAGGGTGGTCACATATCATATCTCGCATGGGGTTGAGCTTAATGACGATTTTACTCATTGTTAGCATTTACAGACCTTTATATTTAGGTTGAGTCATAAGTTACTTTTATTTTTTTATCAGACATTTATTTTGCTTTCATTAAATAACAAAGTTATATTAATTTATTATGTATCTGCCACTATTATATTTGACCTTCTCCCATCTTCCTGGCAGTTTATCAATTCTTTCCTTGTAAAATGTGGTTGGTTTGGACTGGAAGAGATTTTCGACAACCTGACTGACTTGCTCTTCAGAATTGAAGGTTTTTTCATTCAAAAAGTTCTGTAAGGAACAGAAAAGGTGGTAGTCTGTCGGAGCAAGGTCCAGGGAGTAAGGTGGGTGTGGTAAAACAGACCATCCAAGCTCAAGAATTTTTTCTTGAGTCATCCTTGCTATATGTGGTTGTGCATTGTTGGGTAAAAGAATGACATTTTTGTGATTGACAAGTGCAGGATGCTTTTCATGGTGTTTCTCTTCACTCTTTTCAGCTGTTGAACATATCTCTCTGCAGTAATCATTAAATTTGACTTCAACAACTTGTGATGAATTATGCCTCAACAAGTTATGGGAAAGTTATGCAATGTGTTGCTAGATTTTTTTATTGAATTTACATGTATATATTTTAAATTAATTGCAGTTAATTAAAAACAATAATTAGAATGAAAATTTATATATTTTAGTATATTTGGAATATTAAAAAAATACTAAAAAATAGAATGAAAAACAATGTATTCATTAATATTACAAGAATTTTAGTAACATTTTTGGAAAATTATATGATTAGTAACTGCATACCAATATATATTGATCACATTTATCACATGTACAGTACTTCTAGTTTTTCCATCCTTTTTCATGTACAATGGGTGCATTTTTCTATACTGACTAGCAGTTTTCTTAAGCAGTGGTTCAGCAGATATTCCAGTAAAATCTAAATAGCTTTGGTAAAGATAGTAAGTAAAATTTTATTTCTGCTTATTAATGAATTTATTCTCACATAAGAGATTTTCCTAGTACTTTCAAAGATGGAGTTTTTACAGATGAAATAATGATTCAAGCAATTAGATCAGCTGTATTTAGCATAAAAAAAGTATAGCAAGGGGTTGTGTTTTCATTTTCCACTGGACAGAATAAATTTTACATCTGATCTATTGTATCTACCTGGTCAATTTCACTTTAGTTATTAAACCACACCTTAGAAAGCTTTGTGCATTGAAATGCTTTCAATGACTATTTTATAGTTACAAAAGACACACATGCTATCAGTTGTATGGGTGTAATATATCTCAATCCTATATGAGCTAAATAAGTTTCAAGTTTAAAGACAATAGTAAAATAAATTTTTTCATAATGTTTTCTGAACAGTAATTGAGTAAATAAAAGATAATTTCATCATTATGATGAGGCTGATGATTATAGTCCATCAGGTCTTTACCATATAAAATTGAACAGATATAATTAATATCATTAGTAGAAAAAATTTAGCTGGTTCTTTTTCAAATAGTTCACTTTTTCTGTTTCACTTATTTTATAATTACATTTGTAATGAATTCCTTTGGAAATAAAATGAAAGAAATAGGGAAGAAAAAGAATATGAGATCATGCATTTTAAACTGCTTACCAGTTAAGTGTTTTCAATGGAAGAATTTGAAGTACAGGTTATATATGACATTGCAGGTTATGTCAAGTTTTTATTTTAGTAATTTTCTGTGGAATATAAACCATGATCATTATATTCTGCAGCTGATAAAACACAAGAAATTACAATACGAAATATTCTGTTTTTGTTAGTTATTACAGTAAAACAAAAATAAACAAACAAATATTTGCACCTTTCCAAGTGAAATAGGTATAAATATTGCTTTATGAATTTATAGGCCTGAAAACATTTGGAACATTTATATTAGATTGACTTCTGTTAATGCAATATTTATAGCTGTTATGATACAGGCAATCCCCAATTTTTGGACATAATGCATTTTTAGAAATGTGTATGAAAGTCAAATATCTAAAAGTCAAACAATAGAGTTGCTTGTTTATAAAAAAATTCCATTCCCAGAAAGGTAATAAGAAAATATAAGAAAACTCTTATTAATGGATAGAAAAGTTTTAGTATTCTATAGTTAATGTATTACAATGGATTTAAAATGCTAATTAATATACTATATTTAGTGTTAATAATAAACTTTTATATGTTTCATTACATGTAAATGAAATCTATACTAATATTACAAAGAGATAAAGTTTGTAAGTTTGGATATAGGAGGTATTCTCTGAAACTACTCATCTGATTTCAAAAATTCCTTCACCAATATTTAGAATGGACCTTCAGGGTGGACATAGGCTGTATATTATTCCGTTAAACATTCATATAAATTAAAAGATATCATCTAGGTAAGTGTTATATTTTTGGTGTCAGCAGGTAGCAAGGAGCAAGATGTGTACGTATACGAGATAGGTAACCATGCAGCACAGTCGCGTGATCGGCAAGATACGCAGTGCACGTGTCTGAACTTGTACAAAATAAAATAAAAATATATACAATAAAATATTTAAAAAAATACAAAAACGCTTTAAAAATTTTCCGTGATTTTCATGTCCATGTTAAAAAAATTAACAATGAAAATTTATGTGATTTTTTGAATAAAAATACTTACTTTGTGAGAGTGATAAAAATTTGTATATTGATTTTTTACTGATACTGATATAATCAAACTGAATTCCATGTGGATTAAACTGCAGGCACAGCTAGTATATATATATATATATATATATATGAGGGATTTTAGATAAAACTACTGTTTTATATTTTAACTAAAGAATACAGTGATTTAATTTTTAGTATGATAATAGTAATTAAATGTATGACTATAAAAATATAAAATTAGAATTAATGATTTAGTATATTATCATAATAAATATGAAATTTTTATATTTAGATTTCATCATATCCGTTAAAAACATTACTTGAAGTGATTATCAGAGATCTGCAAACTAAACGAGAGAAAGCCACAAGTAACATTAATAACAAACAGAATAAAAAAGAAACAATTAATAAAAAAACAAAAAATTTACAGCTTCCTATAGACAACGATAATTTCAGTCAAGACGATATTAAAATTAAAGCAACTGAAGTAGATTTAAAAAATTGTCTGAATTTTCAGACTGAATTAAATACACAAGAAGATATAGAATATTTCAAAAAATCATTCCAAACATCTTTAGACTGTGATAGATTTTTTACATTTACCAAGAATTCAGAAAAAAAAGGTAAAGTTGTTTTTAATTATAAATTAACATCTTACTGAATGGAAATAATGTATTGAAAGTTGCTTATGTATATGTGATAAAACTTATATAATGACAAAAGAATTTGTTGAACAATTTAAGAGGAAAGAAACAGTTTACAGAGAGAAAATGAGGTCAGGTTACTATTTTAAAAAAATTAATAAACAAACTAATTACAGTGGTGCCTCATATAACGTACTTAATCCGTTCCAGGTGCACGTCCGTTAAGTGAATAGTCCGTTATACGAAACGCATTTTCCCATAGAAATACATGTTAAAACATATAATTCGTTCCGCAGCATAAAATAACGTACTGTACCATAAAAAAATGAAAATAGAGCAGTCACCAATTATGCCGGGTAGTCAGATGTTGTGAGGAGGAGGTGGAGGAACACTTTCTTCACACATTCATACAGATACAGACTTTTTACACACAGCGGGTCTTTTTTTTATTGTTTTTTAATCGGATTCGGATTCAGGAGAGGCTACCGGAGCTTGCGGGGTGAACTCCTCTTGTTCCATCCTTTGTTTTTTCCCTGCTGGCTTCTTGAAAAACATGTCCAAGGTGGTCTGTTTCTCTCTCTTCTTCAACACCTGTCGGAAATGACGGGCAAGAGTGTCATTGTGGAGATCATTGATCCTGTTGGCCTCAGTTCTGTTTGGATAGTGAGTGTTGGTAAACTCCTGAACCTCTCCTCATTCGACAAGGAAGTTTTTGTCAACTTTCACTCCTTCTGATGATTTCTTGCATTGTTTTAATTGAAATCACTTTTCTGTTTTTTTAGAAGCCATGATTTGCACAACACTTGAATAAATGTAAATACCCTGCACTGTGTTGGTGTACCTAATAAACAAGGGAGCAAGCCTAATCCCAACGCTCTGTACTTCGGATATACTGATAATACATTTTAATAATACTAATATATTATAAAAATAACATATTGTCATTGGCAACAGCAAAAGAGTGAAAACATCATTTGCACTTGTTCGTAGAAAGTCCATTGGTCGCCTCACGTAACTGCCGAACGGAAAGTCCGTTGTCCGCAACCAGTCCATTGCTCGAGTCATGTAACGGCCAAACAGAAAGTCCGTTATTTGCAGCATCCGTTATTCGAGGCGTATGTTATACGAGGCACCACTGTACTATAAATAATTTTAGAGTTCATATATCTTTGTAATTGATTATGGAATTTTACTTCAGAAAAGTCTCAAAACATTTGGGTTTCTCAACAGTACCTACATCATTGAGACAACACCTTTTAAATTACATATTACTGTAATGAAGTATCATTTTTCAATGGAAAATTTAGAGATTAAGTTAATTAAAGGTTTTATTTCTATTCTAGCAATTTTCTTTAGAATGTACATGGCTGTGATCTGTGCACACGAAATTATGATATTTGGTTTCAAAAATATTAATTTATTGAAACCATTTTACTATAAACAAACTTAATAATTTATGAAATTTAATTACAGATGAGGCAACAAATATAATTTCTGGAATAGAATCATCTGTACTTACAAATTCAGAGATAAAAAATTTATCAAATGGCTATTTAAAACCAAAACTAAATAATAATAGCTCTAAGGGATTAGAAACAAAGGCACAGTTTGGACTTGTTCATTCTAGTCTTGAGAATCCAAGTGTAAGTGGAAGTTTTGAAATATTATGCATTTTTGAATCTTATAAAATCACTTAACTTAATTTTCTTTTATAGAGACAAAGAAGAAGAGCTCTATACAAAGAATCATCAGAAGTAAATTCATTAAAAAACAAAATTGCATCAAATAATCTTTGTTCTGATTCAAAAAATATTTTGGAAATAAAACCCGAAATTACTAAGATCAAATATAGTGAAGACAAAAAAACGACTAGGTTGTATTTACAATAATAAAATTTACATATAATCAGATATATAAAAAGATGTAACAAAATTTGATGTCATTCTTTGGAGAACAAGTAGACTTACAGCAAATGACTGGCTGCTGTACAGAGCAGTACAAGTAGATTAGCTGATTACTATCTTTTGGAATGATGACTTATTTCCTTGTTGGTATTGTTTGTTTCCATAATTGGGAAATTGTTAAATGATGAAATTTAAATTATTTTGATGCACCAACTATAACATCATTCACAGTTTTGAGTTTTAAATTATCACAATAGAAATTACAAAACAGCATTATGAATGTTGTTAGTAATTTCTGATACTGATATTGTTTTTGTTTTGGACTAAAATTTTACCCATTGTAATTTTCAAGGATTTTTGCAATTACATTTGAAAACTTCTCTTTTTGTGTGGTTGTCTGTAAGTTCTGCTTTAACAAATAAATAAAAAATGAGAGTTTTTTTGGATTGGTCTGAAGCAAAAACTAGGAAACTCTTTATTATAAGAGTTAAATGTCAATTTGAATAGAAATTGCCAAAATTCATAAGAAAAATTTGCAAATGTGACAACTATTTCAGGACGTCTGTTCTAATAATTTATTTTTATTTTAACTTATCACATATATAATCTGAAAGATTATTTTGTTTGGAATAAGTTTTTCTAGGAAAACAAAATCTGTATGCCTTATATGCAGTCATTAATTAATTAATAAACAGAATTAGTTTTACATATTGAAGTAATTAATCATTCTAAAAACTAGAACAAACTAAATGCAATCAGTTGGAAAATTTCAATAGAAAAATTATTTTAATAGACTAATTTAATATAATTTATTCAGTTTGATGCTTATTTTAAATTATATTGAATAAGGCAAGGTAAATAAGTGACATAAAATTATTGAAGTTTTTATTGTTAACGAATTAATAATTCAAAAACAGATTTGCTGAAGTCATTAAATTATTTGTAATTTTCCTGTTCTCTAGAAGATGACACACATTTCTGTTACATTCTTTACATTATTTTTTCATTTTAAAAATAAGGTTTTTACTTTTGATAATTTCAGTTTCAAATCATCAACAGACAGAATAATTAATAACAATACAAAAGACATGGATGATTTACAGCTATGTGATTTAAGTGATTCAGAAGTTACTTTTCAGCCAATCAATAAAATTTCCAGTAAAAAGAAAACAGCTTCAAGACCAATAACAATATCTGAAGCTTGTGTAAGATATAATTTTTAATAATTTTGCATGAAAATAAATTAAATTATTAAGAAATAAACTATTAATTAATTTAATAAAAGAACTTTTAATTAATTAATAATGAAAATAAAGAACAATGCTGTCCACATTTATTTGATTTCATTGAAGTAAAAATTGAGAAATAGCATAAATAACCATTATTTATGCTATTTCTCAATTTTTACTTATTTATTTACTTTTAATACATTAATAATGAACAACTCAGTTAAATTGATAATGCTCATATAATTTTATTGAAGATTTGATTGATTCCTAATTATTAAAAATATCAATATGTTGTGCCAAATAAAATATTTTAATTTTATAGATATAGTTTCATTAAGTTGTTGATAGATTTGCAGCTGAACATTATTATTATCATCAGAATGTATTTTAATCAGATTAATAGTTCTGAATACATTATCTTCGTACTTGTCTAAAGTATGGAATATATATCAAAATAATATATATGCAGAAGTTTTAAAGATTTAAGAGATTGTAATGGTATTTTTTAGACATTTATATTTATATAAAATACATTTTTTTAAATTTTTAAGAAAATATAAAATTTATTTAAATTAAAACAGTAATTAAATATTTTAAAATTTATTCTGTTCAATTGAAGATTTGCCTTTATGTCCATTCAAGTTAAGTATTTTTAATAAACTTTGTTTTAATGTAGTAATGCTGATATTTGTATTTTATTTTCAAGAGATTATGCTTTTACTATTTCATTTTATAATCCTTTTTTATCAGTAAAACAATATAGTAAGCTTTTCTTATTTATTAACTAAATCATATATTGACAAAAGTTAATAATTTAAGTAATGTTAATTTTAATGTACAGTACCAATGAATTATATTACATCAATGAACTTCAATGAGATTACATTGTCACTTAGCTATTAGTATTATTGATTTAACTTAGAACATGTACTTCACCGTGATCAATGTGGTGGAGTTGGTAAACAAAAAGTCCAACTCTGACCTTACCGTTTTTTAAAATGTCAGCATATAATTCCTTTTATAAAAAAGATATTGCTGGGTACCCAAATATTTTTATCTAAAATTTCTCTGTGAAATGTCATAAATTGATGGCAAGAATCCAAAAAATGGATATAACGAATTTACCTTGGAAAAACTTTCGAGTACTTAAAGAAACACACTACATCTTAAAAGCCAAAAGAATTCCACTTTTATTAGTTAATTAATTAAATTTAAATCAGTTTTTCATAAATACAATAAAATGCAAAAAATAATGATTTGATGAATGACATAATAAATTGGTTCATAAAATAGTTTCTCCACTTCATCTACAATGGGAATAACTGATTTCCTATGAATGGCTGACTAAACTGAAGCATAAAGTAGAATTTTAAAAAATGAAATTTGGAAAAAAAAATCAATTATCTTGAACAAATGGGTGTAATCATGCACAGAGAACTTAAACCGGTGAATAATAAACTGAAACAATCCTATTAATTATGTTTTTGTGGTTTTCTCTTCCTCTTTTAGTTTGTTGCAGTTAGATTCTGATCTCAGTTTTACTTTTTTCATTGTTTTTCTATTGACTGTTTTAAGACCAAATTATGTTAATAAAAACTATAATAAATAATCATAAATAACTCAAAACCAATAGAAGGGCAATAAAAAAATGAATTAATCAAATTAGTGGAAAAAAAAAAATTGATATCCAAAGTAAAACTGAGATGTAAAAACATAGTGTGTAAAAATTATGGCACCTGAAACAAAAGTCAAATTTTTTCTTGGGAGTTTCTCTTTGTTAAAGATATGGTGTTGCTTCGAAGTGGTAAGGTTAAGTGTTTACTTTCCAGAAATGATCCAATGACTAACTACAAGTGTTGAATGGTTTTATCCACTCAGTCACTGGTGGGCCTTAAATTAATAAAAACTATTTTGTGAAAGTATAGATCATGTCATGTGAGTTACGCATAAAATTTTCTATGAAATAACCTTTACAGGTTAATATTTTGATGTCTAAATTTACTGAAATGGCTGTTTTCTATTTTTATTATTTTGTCATGCCAGATCTCTTTAGATACTAATTAATTAAAAAGTATTTTTCTTACTTCATATTTTACCAATAGTAAACTTCAAAGTTGCTGGAGTCGAAAGAATTTTATCAACTCCATTCACTCCAACTCCACAACACTGATTATGAGTTAGTACAGAAATTTTTATACTGCATAAATATGCTATAACAAACTTAATTGTGTAAATGTTTGTTATTTTATGTAGGTCTTTCATATCTTTGTTTCTTGTTTGATTTTATTTATTTTTCAGGCCTTTGTTTTGAGGATAGAAATCTATTGTGCTCAGACATTTCCTATTATAATTACATTACAAAATTCATTAATCATAATTTAACCAATACTTAAATATAACTGATGATGTAATCATTAGTTTTTAAAATTTTAATAATGAAATATTATTTTAATGTTGATTCTTTTTTACAGGAATTGAAAAAATTGTTATTTGGCAATACAAGTGCAAAGTTTGGACCAGAATGGAGAGGACAGGCCTTCATATTTAATGAATTTGAATCTGTATGCTATGGACTTGTTCAAAATAAGGTTGAAGCTTTATATTATAATACAAATTATGTATTAAAGTATTACTTTTTCTTATGATTTTAAATATACTGTATTATTGAAAATTTAAATATAATGTAAATTATACAGAAAGAGAAGTATAAATCATGCAGTATTTCCAAGGTAATAAGTAAATTTTATAAATATAAGAACAAGATGCAAATTAAAAAATGCCATCTTGACAAATAATTATTTTGTCATGCCAGATCTCTACTTGATAAAAGTTTGTTAATGCTGATAGAGTATGTTCTTAAAGTTTTGATGAATAAAACAAAAAATAAATACAAAATATCCTGTAAGCACTTTCGACATGTATATCAGCATTCTAAAGTTTGTTTAGATTTTGCCCGAAGAAGACATTCTATATATGTCAAAAATGTTTACAAGATATTTTGTATTTATTTTTTTGTTTTATTCATTGAAACTTTAAGAGCACTGTCTATCGATGTTAATTAACTTTTATCTTGACAAATTATGTGTTGAAACACAATGCTGATAACCTTTTAAAATAGGGGTCCCCAAAGTGGTTGATATCGACCCCTTGGGGTCTAAGAGTTCTCCAGGGGTTGATTAATACACGAGGGTCGAAAGGGGGTCGATTAATACGAAAGAGGATCAATTAAATTATCTAGGAAAAAATAGAATATTCCAATAAAAATTCGAAATACGGATATGATCAACAACATTACTGACTACCCTAGTTATAACTTGAGTTTTGCCTTAGCCTACGCCACTTTAAGCTTGTGTTACTCTGTTTTCACGCATCTGGCAACTGTACTAGTGTTGCAAACATGCTATGAACGCTGGTAGTTCATTATACACAGACATACATTCACTCTAGTTGGGTTGTCACTCTAAGTATTTTATATCTAAATGTAGATATTTTGTCCTTTATAGAGAAAATATCGTAATATATCGAAAATCATTAATATAGTACAGAAGTGTTTGCAAGAAAAAATGGCCTTTCAAGTAAAAATGGAGCAATTTAAATCTTCACTGGCAGGATCCGATTTTAAATATTTTTCAAACTTGCGAGTACTAAAAGAAAATGAAAAGGTTTCCAACCGGTTAAACATCTTGATAAATTAAGAGAAGACTTTAAAGCACGTTTCGAAGAATTGGAGAATATGCATGTTTCTGAATGGTTTGCTAATCCATTTGATGTAAAAATAGATAATGAAGATAGTGAACCTGGCTTAGAAGATGAATTGAGTGAAATATGTGTAGATCTCAAAGCTAAAGCGTTGTTTAAAAATAAAAACCTCAGTGAATTTTGGA